CCTCCTCCATCGCTAACTCCGCTTTGTCTGTTAAACTAGCTTCTCTCCAGCACAAAACCTCCCGCCCTTCCTTCACCGTCCACCACCCGCCTCTGCCTCGCATGGCACTGGCCCAAGCCGGGCCGGGGATCCCGCCGGCCAACCCCGCCGTGTGGGTCGCCCTTGGCATGCAGCCGCCTTTCGCTGCCTCTTCGCACCTCTCGGGGGTTAAGCCGCGATAAAAAATGAGCCCGGCTTGTTTGTAAGCCGTTCTGGCGCTGCAAGGTAAGGCCGCCGGGGCAGAGCGGAGCACGACCGGGGAAGGGGGTGCGTGTGGGTGGGGGTTAAGGGCAAGGGGCAGAAATCGAAGGGAAAAGCCTGAGACGGGTCTGCTTTATTGCTTTTCTTTTTTTTCTTGCAGAGACATTTTTCCCCCTACCAGCAACAAAAAGCATCTCTTGCAGTGGGTATGGGAGAGAGAGAGAGAGAGAGACCAAAAAACACCAAAAAACCCCATACAAAATCCATATATAATCTGTTCCACCATGAACCCCACTAGAATCCGAGAGAGCTAGTCAAATCTATCGCCCCGACAAACCCATCCATTGTCAGCACACTTCTCCTGGCAGCCCATTCGGGTTCCCCCTCTCACCCCCCCAGTGCCTCCTTTGGTCCGCAGGACACCCCTGCGAGGTAGGCGAGGCCAAGCGGAAACTTGGAGCCTGGTCTCCCCAGATCAAGGCCTCTACCGTATTTCTCCAGGGTCTTGTCCTGCTCTTTGGGCTGACGAGAACCCACCGGTCCGTTGGGACAGCGATGGAGATCAAGTTTCCCAGTGCTGGTGTGTGCTTCTACATGGGGCACACTGTGGCCTTCCATCTACTCATCACCAGCACCAGCACCATCCTAGAACGGCAGAGCTGGAAGGGACCCCAGAGATCATCCAGTCCAGCCCCTCAAGGAGGCCCAGTGGGGGTTTCAAACTCCCAACCTCTGGCTCTGCAGCCAGAGGCCTAAGCCACAGAGCTATCCAGCAGCTCTTGGCCTACCAATCCCAGCCTCCCCCTCTTCCACCCTGGCTGATGGGAGCTGTAGTCCGAGAACCTTCAGTCACACCACCCCTGCAGCAAAACAAATGTCAGCTTTTTTTTTTTTTGTCAAGGGTGGATTGGAGAGAAATCAAATTGATTTCAATCATGATTTAAATTTTTTTAAATGATTTTTAAAAAACAATTTAAAAAGATTTGTTTGAATTTCAATTAGGATTCGAAACAATTTGATTTTTTTTGAAAATATGATTGATTTTTGAAAAACTCCTACCTTTTCTTTCTCTCTCCCCCCCCGATCCCCCTAACACTTATTCTCTTGGTATGTTGTCTCAAACCCAGATCTCCAACTGAATGCCGCCCTCTTCTTTTTTTTCCCCCCTCCTTCTTTGTCTCCGGCAGGTAATTAAGGATTTCTACCTCAAAAAACCCACCCCACCCCATGACCTATGCAACGGACAACCTGGATCAGTGTCTCTCGGCTTCCACCGAAGGTGCTTCGCCCTGCGCGGCTGAGTGGTTTTCTGCTTTCTTCCTTCCCTGTCTCATTTTTCTTTTTTACTACTGGACAAAAAGCAAATTGAAACAAAGACAATGCAAAAAAGAAAAAAAAATCTATCCAGAAAACCGGAGGAAAGAAAATGCTACTGTGAATCTTAAGTTAAATATATAGAGAGAGATAGATATAAATATATATCTTCAACTTATAGAAGAAACCGCTTAGAAACCGCTCCAGTTTGTACCGTTGATAGTTTAGATATTTATATATTTTTAAATGTGTAAAACACAGACACACACACACACTCCCCCCTTTTTTTTTTTTTTTGGTTCCACACTTGAAGTTGTAGAACTGAAAGAAAAAAAACTCACACAAACAGGGGGTCACTTGAACAGTGAAAAGAACTAAATCGATCTAAAATAAACGGACCGGCACACCAGCAGAGATGTAACAAAGCTTCCCTTGGTGCTACTGACATCGAGCAGGATCTGTGCCTCTCCCGTGGTGCTTTTCCCCCCTCTCTGTTTATTTTAATTTTTTTGTAATTTTAATTTAATTTTTTAATTTCAGCCTGGCGGGAATGACCAACAACACTGAACCAAACCGTCATTCCTGTGCGCACGGTCTTATTCCTTATTTATTTCCTCCTGTTTCCTCGGGCATGTGTGGCCAACCGGCTGGCAAGGGTTTTTATTTTTTATTTTTTGTGTGTGTGTGAAAAACCAGGCCATTGGCTGCAGGGAGGGTGGGAGGTTGTGTTATTGTGATTGTTTTAAAGTTTTGTAGAATCTCCCTGTCGTTCCAAACACCGCTTGCGAGCAGGAAGGGTGCCTGTTGCACGCCCCTCGCCCGACCTGCCAGGCAGAATTGTCATCACGGTGCTCTCGTGCGACACTGGCATACATACAGCCCCACACACACTCACCACCACCCCCAACACCCCAAGGTGTTCAGAAACACAAGCACTATTTCCAAAGGCGGGCGCCTCTGCCTTAACTCTGCGAAAGCCAAAAGCAGGTGCATCGAAGCCGGCGTGGGCTGAGCGAGACCCTCCTGTCGTGGCTGGACTACGAAGCCCAGCCTTTCTCAACCTGGGACCACTGACCTATGGGAGACGCAACGCCTATCCCTCAGACATCCCCTGTGCCTGGGCTGTCTGGGGATGATGGGCGTTGGAGCCCAGCTCCACAGCTTCTCTCCTTCCCCCTCCTTTAGGCATTGGGGTCGGGAGGGCCCCGGAGGCGCCCTCCAGTTCAGGATGCTAGGATGTGTAGTCTGGTACCCTCCGGAAGGGATCGGCCTCGGCTGCTTCCCCTCGGCCCTCCTTAAGAACCCCAGCAGTGTGATCCAGCCCCTCGCCATTTCATCTTGATCTTTTTCACGACATGCTGGGTTTTTTCAGGGCTTTGCATCAACACACTGTGTTTGGCCATGGGGGTGGGGTAGGGTCTTAAAATCCCCCCTGTCCAGGCTGAACCAAGGGTTTGCTTTCAGGTGCAAATGTGGAGGTGAACCTAAAAGCAGCATGGGGTGCTCTCTTCTGCAAGCGGGGGACACATGTCCTTCTGTAATGGTGCTTTGCTTTTTCTGTGTAACAAATGCCCCAAAGAATTAGGTGCATAGACGCCACTGGTCTCACATCTTCACGGCAGCTGGCGCAAGTCAGGCCTGTATTCAGCGGAACCTAGAAGAGCTGTGAGTAAATCGGAACCCGGTCTCCGGCTGCCATCCTTTTGGTAGATTTTCTCAATAAGTGCCTGCTTGATCTCTTCCCCCCCCGCC